GAACCTAAACCACAAAAACCCCCCCAGCCAGCCATGGCTGGCTGGGGAATTCTGGGCGTTGAAGTCCACCCATCTTAAATTTGCCAAGGCTGAGAAACACTGCTCTAACCCCAGAAAACTACATGGATGTATCTATATACTCACCAGGGGTCAAACTTTGATTGGAGTGAGGTTCTACCTTTACTGAGTTTCTTTGCACAAAAGATAGGGAAGCCAAATGAAAAGGTTTTTACCTCAATGCAGCTGCAGGAGTTGGCAAAACGCAATGCAGGCATCTGTTGCAGGCTTCAGCAAAGGTGCCAGACCGTCCAGCACTAAGCTCTTTTTATTCCCAGTTTTGCTTACCTCTATGTGATTGAGCAGGGGGTCCTCAAACCTGAAGCCAGGGATCCTTTTTTCACTGCAGACCACGCTCACATCCTCAGTATGCTTACAGTCTGACACACCCCATCCATTGGAGGTGCACGCAGATACTGACGACTCTCTGCCGGTACAGTAGAGGTTGTCTAACCAGATTGGGCCTACAGGGAAAGAGGAGCAAAAGACCCAAAGGTCTCTCTTAGGAGGCACAGTCTTCACTTCGTGGACTAGAAATAATTTCATCAGATTGAGCTCTGCAGCCAACTATGGTAATGTGCAAGCCTCTTCAGAGTGGTCTCCATTAGGATGAAGAACAGAAAAAGCTGACAAATGAAAAGGAGCCAATAACATCTGAAAAAAATGTTTGAACTCATGTTATTTTCCATCTTTTTAAATGCCCTTCCTCCCGATGTCAGCCTTGTGAGGAAGTTCAGACAAGAATCCCATCCAGGAGTATTAACTATATCTTTATTGTAAGGGTACAGTAACAGAATCTTGCAAATCTAAAAGTACATTTCTCCCCCTTTACAGTCCAAGAAATAGGGAGGGTCCCTTCTGAGACGTTTGCCACATCCCCATTTCTTCTGCGGGCTCAGCTGCCTCTTATCTGACTGTTGCCTAGTCTGTGGCTCTTCATCCTGTCTCCCAAGGTCATTCCCACATGCCATTACATCAGTGATTATTTGTTTTTGATAAATGTATTTGGAACAGCTGGTTTGGAGTCATGTGGTAGGTAGGTAGGCAGGGCGACTAGATAGGTAAGTTGATAGGTAAGATAGGTTAATAGGTAGATAAGTCGGTAGATAGGTTAGGTTGGTTGGTTGGTAAGTAGGGAACAGACAAATAGAGTTTAGTTAGCAGTTAGGGTAAGAAAGTGTCACTTGTAAGAGAAGGTGTTTCACCTCTTAACTTACTGCTGTGGAATCCAAGAAGTGTAGCTGAACAGTAAAAGAATACTGATTGCTTTTTTACACTTTCTGTTTCATACCATCCAAACCCCACACATTTTGTTTTACTCCTTGTGATTTTCCATGCCATTCCCAGAAGTGACTATAATTATAAACTTCTTCAAAGAAATCTGCAAGGGTCACTTCATGATGCAGCCATGCTAGTAAAGCCTACTAGTCCCTCCCCCCCCCAGCCCAAAAAGTAACCACAACCTCTAATTTTCCAGGCCACAACCTTTCCTTCCCTATTTAACATCTCCAGCTATCAGTGGACGGGACTGAATTAGCCTGAATTTAAGTCAGCCTAAGGGAGGAAGCTTCATTTCAGGAGATGTGGTGCTTAAGAGGCCAGGTTCTTGGTACATGACTGCAGGGGCCAGAATGTTATCACTCCCCACGATGGGGCACCCTAAGTGAACCCAACAATCTATTGATAAATAGGCCATATATGTACATGGCCCCAAATTTGCGCAATTTCTGGAGAAGCAAAGGCACTAGGACCGTAAGGCGAAATTGCATAATGGCACCAAGGAAGCAAAAGCCTGGCTGATTCCTAGGCAACTGATTGCCTTGGAGGGTCTAGGGAGACAGGGTTGTAACACCCACTCAGCCACAAAACTTACTGGGTAACTTTGGGTCAGTGTGAGAGTTGGAGTGGAAAGTTGCCTGACAAAACCATAGGCCATTTTATAAACAAGGGTAGAAGCCCAGAGTAAGAAAGGAACCATAAAGTGTTCACTGCAAAAAAAAGCAGAAGAAATTTCAGGATTTCAATCTTGGAGCATGTATGTGTGTGGTGTATATGCTTATGTTCATGTGTATGTACACATATACACCGAATGACACACGTTCATATGCATACATATATACATACATATATCTTTAGTAATATGTGAAAAAATGTATGATATGAAAAAAACCCAGGGTATCTTACAGTTTTTAAGCTGGATGTTAATATTACCATTTCTTATCTCTGTTGAAATCTTCTCAAGCTGGTCAAAGACCACAATACAGAGTGACTTACTGCGGGGGAATATCTTACCTAAGTTGAATCCTGACTTTGTAGAAGAGCACAGAGCTCCAGAGCAAGGATTATTGCAAGGAGCCAGGGGGCAACTACTTGATATTCTTTCCCTCTTGGCCAATGTTAGGGCCGGCCCTGCTATGTAATAAGTGAAGTCTTCTGCTTCAAAAACTTCAAGTGGGTGAAATAAATGACATCAGGAATGGATTGTGAAAGGCCGCAAAGCATGACTGAAGGTCTGTCCTAGATGGGTCAGAAATGGGGTTTGTGGACTCTGGGCCTAGAAGCCAGAGAGCAACACTGGTCTAACATGTTTTACAAATCTGTTGTGAGGCTTTTGAAAAAAAGGGAGAAGGGGATAAACATGCCACCATATATTAACAACCCCCTTTATCTGGCTGATGCTTGCTGGCAGGGGTCAGAAAACCAAAAGATTGTTGCTCTGCACCTCACCTTCTCCTTTGCCATATTTAGAGCCAGGGAACCAGGATATAGCTTCCACGTAGCCCAGTTGCCTGCAGAGCACATGGGCCGAGTGGATGGAGAAATCGTCGTCACAAATGGTGCCCCATTCCTTGTTATAGAAGACTTCCACTCGCCCTTCGTTGTGCTTCCTCTTGTCTCCTGCCAACCGGACCTGGATAGAAGGCACAGTGCTGGGCTGCTGGGGCTGAGGATGGAAATCTTGTTCATATTGGGCAAGGATCAGGGGGTCCAGGCACAAAAAGAAGAAGAAAAAGACCGCATGGTAGTTCAGGAACTTTGCCATTGAGGAAGTGATGTTCTCTTTGGCAGCAAATCAAAGTTCATTCAAAGATTAGAAGGCAGGCTGACCTGTTTGCTGGAAGGAAAGAAATGAAGGAGATATTTGAGAAATAAGGTTGATGCTTAGGAGTATGTAAACATTCACTTTCGAGACCCAACTCAAGGGGGATTTGTTGGAAACCCAAGTCAAATGGACTTCAAACCAAATGGGCAGAGGAGGTGGGTTTGATTGGCCAGATCAAATTGGATGCTTCCAAACTGATTTGGAGAAGTACAGCAAAATTATTCCTTTTTCATCAGTTCAGGCCTCCGAATCTGACTGATTTTCTAAACAGAATCAGGAGTCCAAATACGAATGGGCTGGAAGTCAGAAATGATGATTGATAGCAGACTATGGTTGATTCACACGTTCCCACTGATTTTGCCATTACTGAGGCTGGATGGATAAATGCACTTTTCTCCTTTCTGACTTCTGCACCAAGTAACAACTGATGGACAGCTGTGGATCACCAGCTGCAGGCAGTGTGCAACATCTGTTTTACGGCTTGAGGAACACCCTGAACTGCTAGGTTTCTCTTAGAAATGCAGAAATATTATCTTTTCATCTGCTAGATGAAATGCAAAATACTTTCCTCCACCTTCCCTCATCCAAGAAAGAGCTACAAGCATGCAGCCTCTGCATATTTATTTTTACGTTAATCTGGCACAAGCTTTGGCTATATCAGGCATGGCGAATTGCTAAGAGAATTATCTTGAGAAATTGGAAGAGTATTACTATTCCAGATATTAAGGATTAGGTTCAGGACATGTATAATTTATCCATTTTTGAAAAGGCATTTTTTCTGCTAATTAAAAAATGATGCAATATATTTCCTTTTGGCACAGATTTCAAAACATTGTACAACGATATTCTTGTTCTCTCTTGAATTAGAAATTGTTGTACTATGTCTAATATTTGATATGCCGCCGATATGCTTAGATTGTGTATAAGTTTCTTTTCCTCCCTTTTCTTTGTTTGCTATTGTTTATCAGTTGGTTTCTTTTCTTGCATTTTGGGAGGGGTTGTATCTTTGTGTACTCTTTTTCAAAGTGGTATTAAAATAAAGTTTAATTTAAAAAAAAATGCATCACCACCTCTCTTGCAGCTTTCGATGCTATTTTCCACTGTTTCCCAGGCATAATTGCATCATTTGCATGCTTATGTCCTGATACACATGTCCTCATTTTGATGTCATTGCAGCTGGCCATGGATGTCTTTGTTCCCAGATGTTTTACAAAAAACAGCCTCAAATCAATAACAGTTCTAGTACATCTTTCTCTCTTTTATATACACCCACCCACGTGCAAAATCCTTTTTAAAGGTTGAAATCCCACCTGGGTATATTTATTATACAATGTAGCCCCAGATCTGTGTTCCTGTTCCCAGATGTTTTGGTGATAGGCTGTGGCTACCCAACAGGGCATCTGTAACCTACGGTTCCTTTGGAGGCTGAATCCTTGTTCTGCCAAGAGATTTGAGGACTGACCTCCAGGGACGACTCTCACGTAAGGTCAGCCACCTCTTTGCTGGCCAGGACCAGCGCTTTGGAGGGCATCTGAATGCCACAGGGGGTGGGAGAAGATCCAAGAATGTCGCGTGTGGGCAGGACTAGATTGCCATGGGGAGCAGCGGTATGCATCTGTTTAATTTTGGGGTGGGTTACACCTGTCCTATTACACAACCCCTCCTCAGAGGATCTGTAACAAAGGTGTGCAAAGGTAACTCAAGGATCACAGTGGGTTTGAAGGGGCAGGCTCAAGGCTACATAGGGAGTTAGCCAAAGTTCTAATTGCACCCGATCTGGAGGACATAGGCTTTAAGTGGGGCAATATGGGTGCTATACTTTTTGCACCCTGGTCTCTATGCAAACTCAGTTAACTGGTGGCTGGAACATTTTGTTCAGCTCCTTGTTGTTCTCTTTGTTTTCCTATGAGTCATACTTTTTATAGAAGAACAGAGGGATGCCAGATCCTGTGTGGGGAGAGTAGTGCAGCCCTCTGTTTATGGTAAAGATTTCCCAGTCTTTTCCCAAATACTCCCAGGTATTATGTCACAATGCATATTTCCATTACTGCATGTCTGGCTTTAGCCATACTTAACGCAAGCAAAGACCCAGCAGAGTTTGCTCTCTGCTTCCACTTGCACAGAAAGCATCTTGGCAGACAGGTCTTTGTAGACCCCCTAGCTTAGCCAACGAGCTGATGAATGTTTGAGACGGGTTGTTAAACCACATTGCTCCTTATCCAATTCAGTGGGCAAGAGGCCTTAAGGCAAGAGAATTAAAACATGAGCTAAACTCCACCAATCCCCACAGAGTTACTCCTTTTGCCATCCTCCATGCAAGCCGCACATGTAACAGTCTGGAAAGCCACGTGTGTGGAACAGTTTCCATGTGAAGCGAAGCCAAGAGGCGGCAGCAGAAGCCCACCGCTTCTCATTTCCTAGCACAGAATAACTTTTCCCTGGCTTTCCCAGTGTGCAAAACACAGCAAAGGATCTGTTCTGCTCATAAACAAACTTCCAGGCAAGAGAAGTCTTCCAAACTGAGCATCACTTGTGAACTGGGCCAGGGGGAGAGGAACAGAAAAGGAAAGGAAGAAAGGTTAGCCTTTGACTAAGCATTGTTTTATTTGTATTTTATTGTCATGATCAATTTCTTTTAAATTACTTGAAGATCCTCAGAGCAAGAATGGCCATACCTCAACAATAGCCTTCTCCTGTGGCTGGTTCCCAATTCCCAAGGCTTAACCAAACAGCAATGTTAGGCAAGCTTGCAAGACGTCTCCCGCTAAGAGCAGACACTGCAGACAGCAGCTCCTTTCCAACTTCAAGTTAAGAGGCTGTTGAAGATGCTGAGCTAGTTGACCAAGCAGAACTAGTCATGCTCTTTAGGATCAGCAACGGTAAAAGAGATGTATAACTTCTTTCCCCAAAACAATTAGGGTTTGGAGAGAAGAAGTTGAATGGAGGCACAATTATTACGTTGTCTGTTGGTTAAAGGCAAGTAGGACCATGTCATTAGTGGTTCTTTTGTTAAGAAACTAAGTTAGATGCCAGATGTAAAAGACAACTCAATGCTTATCCTTATCCCCTTCTCTCTCCCTGCACCTGTATCTAACTAGAAGGAGGGGATTAAGCACATATACAGTAAAACTAATTGCTTCGTAACTATGGTTTCTTGATTATACCATCATGGTCAGGGCATGCACATAACATTAAGCTATAAGCCATGGTTCATGACCACAATCACTGGATTCAGATAATCCAAACAAACCATATCTTGGTTTATTAGAAGGTGTGAATTCAGTTTAAGAAGGCACAGAGAAACAGAAAGCTATAAATTACCAGTAGTTAGCAGAGTTTGGCTGTTTAAGTAATGCCTTTATATACAATATGCTAAATTGGTGTAGGGCTTAAAGGCACTGGGCTAGAAACTGGGAGACCACATGTTCTAGTCCTGCATGGCATGAAGCCACCGGGGTGACTTTGGGTCAGTCACTCTCCCTCAGCCCAAGAAAGAAGAAAAAGAAGAATACTTCTGATAATGTTGCCAAGAAAACTTCAGGGACTTGTCCAGGCATTTGCTAGGAGTCAAGACTGACTTGAAGGTGCAACATAATATTATTTAATCTGTATACTTGCAAAAAAAAAAAAAAAAAAGCCATAAGGGATGTCCTTCCAAAGAAAACTAAACCTGGATAAGCATTTTAGCCCTGGATATCTAATTTCTCAGAAAAGCAGAGGAGGAATATCATGGCACATTTGCTCTAGCAGAAATCGAGCAAGGATCCTTCCACATATGCATTTAACTGCTATAATTCTCTGCTTTTCATCATAGAAACAGAAGAAGTACATGCTGGAAACCCATTAGAATAGATCTCCTCCCTTTGCTTCTGGGGATGATTAATTTGGCATAATAGCTTTTCAAGGTGGCATGGAAAAAGGTTTAGGTCTTCATGTTTATTGTCCTGGGAAGAGTCAACTGCACAGATCCAATCTCCTGCACTAAGCCAAGATTTTATGCATAATGCAGAAGTGAGCATGGAATGTAATTTAAACTACCAATATGCTATAATGTAAGAGACCAGATTTTAGTCCTGGCACCAGCAACTAGGACCAGATTTTTGAATATATAGTTAGCAAGCTGCCTTTTCCTAATCAAAAGACCAACCACTTATATGGTGATTTTAAGACTGGGTGTCATCTGCACATATAAACAGCAGTCTCCTCTCTCCTTGTCTAAATAATTTCAAAAGGTGGTGTTTTTTTTTTTTTTTAACTCTCATCCTGTCTTTCTCTGCAGTGGAAGGACATCAAAACAGTCTGTAATGCAAAAGCAAAGAAACATCTTGAAAATACACATGCTTTAAAATCACGCTAATACAATAAAACATTAAAACTGTTGCCTGAATCCTGAAAGGCTGGTTGAACAACATGGGACGTATGAAGCTGGATTGCAAACTCAGGAAAAATACAATATTAATATAGATGGTGCCAAATCCATTGAGTGGTGGGGCATATTTTCCCCTCTCATCTCGATGGAAAAGAGAAGATGACCTTTCCTGCAGGGTGGGAAAATTGCCTAATGAAGGTTAGAGAGCAAAGAAGCTTTATTCTAGCCACTAGATATGACTCATCCATCTGTTCAGAAGGAGCCATTCAATCATCCTTCCTATTGCAACCATATGGAAAATCCATATGGAATTTGGGGGAGTGTTCTATTTAGCCTAAGATGGACATTTTTTGGTTATTACTGTTACCTTATGATACACATCAGGAGAGGAAGTTTAAACCATTTGGCTTGATTTCTTGACAGATGTTGGGGTGGAACTGAATCTAAGCTACTCTTGGAGATGTCTGAGTTTGACTCGACAAAGGGTTAGCTACCTGGCTTATCTGCAGAGAAGAGTGACTATCCTTGGGATCTAGTAAAGACAACAATCCAAGGATCATGCAGTCAAGGGGCCAATAGAAAATCTGGAACTCTGGACCACTTGATTTTACAGAGGAGGGGGAGCATTTTAGATGCCAATGTGTGTTATTTCCCTTACATCAAAAAGTGCTAAGTTAGCCTAGCTTTGCTGAGAACCTCTTCTGTTTCTTCTGTTAAGTTAAGCGAAGAGTTCTGTCTTGATGACATTGCTGATTACCATCCTATAACTAGTTTGTATAGCAGCATATAGCCAATCTTGGATGATTTAGAAAAGTAAGCAAGGTCAGAGCTGGTGAATACTTAGATGGGAGATCGTCAAGACTGGAGAAAAAAAAACATCCCAGAATGAAGGCAATGGCTAATAATGGACGTGCTCATGAAATCCCACCAAGAATGAAGCTCGATGACATAGTTTTAACTGCAAAACTGGAGCCATCTCTTTATAGAATGATAGCAAGGGCCCTGAATCTCACCTTACACATAAAGACTCAGGAAGTTAGCTACCCTTGTGCCTAACGTCTTGACCTCCATGCAGGTTTGTCTAAAACCTAGATGCTTTAGTTACTTCCATGCTTCCAACAATAAACCCAACTTTTAGTAACAAACAGGTTACTCAGCCCTCCTAGCTGAGAGTATTCCTTTGGCAGCAGTCACTAGTATACTTAATGCTGTGGTTTCCTCCCCTCATCTTAAGTTATCCTAACATTTGTAGGAAATGGCTACTGGCAGCCAATGAAGAAAGTGCTGTATGGGTGGCATTCAACTTTTGCAAGCATCCTGATCATCAATAATCCAGACGGTTTTCATTGTGACTAGTAGGCACACCTAGATGCTGTGGACTGCAAAATCATGGGTCTGGGAGGGGGGAAATCCTGTGTGGTTCTGTCACCCCTCAACTCACTCTGAGTTTATTTTCAGACTGCTCTTCTTCACTTCCAGCTGCCATTTTTAAAAAAAGGTACACTTTTTGTAATGGCCCTGCTGGACTTGTCTTCTGATGAGGAGGAGAAGGACGTAGAGTCAGCAGTGCCAACACAGAAAAAAATTTCAGAATTGTAATTCTGTGCACACTCATGTGCTGTAAGTTCTTCTGGACCTCTGAGCAAACATACATAGGAGGGCTTGTTGAAAGCACTGTCTTCTTAGTTTAATAGTTCTCAACTTGCAGGCAAAAGATCACTGGTAGTCCACAAAGATACTACAAATGGTTCTTAGTTGTTAGCCCTTTGAGGTCGCCCAGACAAGAAGCACAACTATGAATCATAGTTCTATCTTTATTGGAAGGTTCCATGAACAGAATCTTGTAAGTCTGAAAGTATTCCTCCCCTCCTTTCCTTTTACTGTCTGGAGAACTAGGGAGGGTCCCTTCTGAAATGCTTCCTACATTCTCCCTCCTTTTTCTTTTTCTTTTCCCTTCCTAGGGTTTTTCTGCAGGTGAGGGGGTCTGCTTTTTCAGCTCAACTGACTGTTGATCCGTTGGTTGCAACAGGAATTGACCAACCAGCTTGTTGCCCAAGCCTGATATTGTGGGGAGAGAGAGTGACTGGCCCAAAGTCACCCAGCTGGCTTTCATGCCTAAAGCGGGACTAGAGCTCAACGTCTCCTGGTTTCTAGCCTGTAGCCTTAACCACTAGACCAAACTGGCTCTCTACCTTCCCTCCTTCTGTGGGCTGAGATACCTTTTAAATGCCAGTTGTCCAGTCTGTGGCTCTCCCTCCTGTCTCCCAAGGTCATTCCCACATACCAT